GGTTGAAATCCAAACCTGGGTCACTGCAAGGTCTATTGCCCAGATAGCACGCCGATATCTAGATCTACCCCCGGTTGGTTACTGCCTTAAAGCGACTCTTTAGCTAGCATACCCTGACCCCGGACAAGGGATAAGCAGAGGGACACGAGTGGAAAGACGGCAGGAGGAGGAAAAGTGAAGTATGGAAAAGCAAGGGCGAGTACACTAAAGGCAGGAGGAGGAGGTGGAGGTGGAGGAGAGTTGTGGAAAAGGCAGAATAAAGGAAAGACACAAAGTCTAACCGGTTTAAGGGAATCAGGCACTCCATTCTTTCCCAGGTAATCAGATCACGCTGGCACCACTTAATACCACTGGATTCAAATGAAGGCCTTTTCCCCTTTACCTCAATTGGATTACAGCTGATATCTTTCAGTGACCCTGTATTGGAAACGATTCGGCGTCCTTAGAATTCAATCTACCTCTCTGCGTGACCGCGGTTCTCAGTTAGTGCACCATATGTACGGCTAGGAGCCGCCGTCATGCGCAACATTGTAAAGAGGCAGAAATTTATCTTGGTTACGGTATTGACCTTTTTGAGCTGAGCACATATAGATTACCCCATTAAAGTGTGTGCATGTGCGCGTCTTTGTGTGTGTGTGTGTGTGTGTGTGTGTGTGCAGATATGAGGTATCTTTCCATGCACCCCCTGCATGAGTCCACTGTTCCAACAACAAATGACTTCACACTGCACAGAGAAGATAACAAAATGAACCATAAAGACGGTAATAATACAGCCAATTCCTTCCTTCCCATCTCTCTCTCTCTCGCTCTCTCTCTCTCTCACGCTCGCTCGCTCCGTCTAATCCATAGTAATCTTATAAAATCATGGACATGGTGGCTGAGTTTGCTGTATGCCTGGGTAGGCGGTATCCTATTCTGAGGCACACATGCATTGAAAGGCACACATGCATTGATTAACATTTTGATTACTGGACTCCGATAATCCCCACTCATTATGACAGAACATTGTCATACCCCTGCCTTATTGACCACCACCGTGACAAATGTGTGTATGTGTGTGTGTGTGTGTGTGTGTCTGTGTGTGTCTGCATATGCCTGTGTGTGTGCTCTCTGTCAGATACAAGTGGTGGAGGATAGAGGAACAGTGTGTACACTGACCCCCTCTGTGGCTTCAACAGTGTCTTGAGCCGCGTGACATTTAGACCAACAGTGTGAGCTGGAAAATGTTCTGTGAACAGTGTGAGGAAGACAGAGAGACACTGACTATTGACGGACAGACCGGGCCTAAGTGTACGAGACACAGAAACCCCTCCGTTGCGACCGACTGCATTAATTGATTTGAGGCATTTAAGCTCCTTCGCTTCCCCGCTGCCAAGGAAAGGACAAACGGGTTGACACGAAAGTACTGCAGGTTATTTCTCTAGAGGCCTTTTTTTTCTCCAAGGGTATTTGTCATGTTGAACTTTAATTGACAATGTTCTAATTTTCGGTATTCATTTTGTGACTTGTAACTGGCGGTCAAAACACAAAATTAAAAAGGATGCTCTGTCTGAGGCCATATCGCTTTGCATGAACAGTTTCATACAGATCGGGGTCTATCATAATAATAATGAATTGCAATCACATAGCGCTTTTTTAAGAAACGTGTCGTACAATCCTGGAGCCCGTTGGCTATCGGGCTGATGACGATGAAGCCTCTCACCCCAGATATTTCTGAGGTGTCGGTGTAGCCAGCAGATATCCGAATAACGACTTCCTCTTCTCTTTGTTTCCAGTCAGATTAGCAACTTGAGACATGAGAATGGAGCTGGATTTGAGAGATGACGTCTAAGACCGGATTGTTTCACAAGTAGCTATAGGTAATTATATGAATGCAGATTAGGTTAAGCTAAATTGTCGTCGTCATTCTCAAGGTGCTTATCGGACGGGAAGCAATGAGCGCCGCACGGCGAAGAGGCAGTCATTATCCCGCCAGGATAGCCGCCGGCTACACAGGAACCGCATAAATATCGGATGTTGCGTCCCTGACCCCCGACCTCTCACCTTTTTATCCGAGAGCCCCGACACCGTGTCGATGTACTGCTCCTGGATCATGAAGGCGGCCAGGTTGGCCGTGTACGAGGCGAGGAAGATGACGGCGAAGAAGGCCCAGACCAGCACCATGATCTTGCTGGTGGTGCCCTTGGGGTTCTCGATGGGCACCGAGTTGTTGAAGACGATGCCCCACAGCAGCCACACCGACTTCCCGATAGTGAAGGTGGGCCCTCCGGGAGCTGAGCGGGCGTCAGGGGTGAGGGGGAGCGTTGTTACATATACCGGGTGTGTTCAAAGACAGGGACTTTTACTTTGCATTTAAATGGCAAATGAAATTGGATGCTGATCGAAAAACCGAATCCGAAACTGTGCCTGAAACTGAAACCAAACAAAATTTGCACTCAAGACAAACCATGTCTGTGAAAAAGAGAGAATCCCCATTTTGTAAATCTTGGTTTTAATGTCACACATTTCCTGGCCTTTTTCCACAGCGTCAACCAAATTAAAAAAATTGTATTTGGTTAGCACAGAGGATTCGACACAGAAAGAAAACCTCCACAAGGTTTTGATACGTTATGAATTCTCCGTTATTTTTAGTTTTTCTACAGAATCAACCAAATCGTAACGTAAACCCCTTTTTTTTCGGGAAAACGACCAACGCCGCAGCACTCTCCCGAGCGCGGCGGCCCGTTCACAGATCCCTGCTCTTTGTTCCTGGTGTGTACCAACGAAACGCGCCACCGCCGCCATCCATCACACTTCGATTACCGTGACGACCAACGCTAATTAAAAGAGGAAAATGACCTTTTAGACCTGGAGACAAGGCACGGTCTGTCAACAAGGCATTGTGGGATTGATTAGTCCCCTGACCATGAAACACTACTTAGGAACTCGCGCTATACAAGAGTTGAGGCGAGGCAGCGGTGAATCATGAGGGTTTTAAACTGCTAACGTGTGGCTCAGCAGAAGGGCTACATTTAGATCGCATTTTTCTTATTTCTTATTTAAAAGATACACATACTATACAAACTATATTTGGACACTATTTTCATTGCTATTTGTTCACTACTTTTACTTGCAATTTTTATTTCAATGTATTTACAGGATGTTCTGTGAATAGTAGTTAAAAAAACAAACTAGAAACATTACAATATGAATCAAAAATTACATTTATACTTATTACACAAACTACATTTCATTCATCTTAGATGATAAAAGTTAAATATATCAGTAATAGAATGGAAATAGATGCGCATCACTTAACATACTTAAAGAATACTATAATGTTTTCACACACACACACACACGCACACTCACACAGGGACACCTCACCTTTGGCGCTGACCAGGCTGCGGTTGTACCCCACTGGACTGAAGTACTCAAACACAAAGACGGTGATGGCCACCACGGTCAGACACATCACGAACATCATGACCCACACCGCTGGGCTGTAGGGCTCTTCACCGGAGTGGAAAACATAGAAACAGAAGAGAGAGAGGGGAGGGGAGGGGGGGGGGGGGGGGGGGGAGTGAAGGGAGAGTTAATTTAATCTCAGAGTCCTCTAGACTCCGGTTTTGAGATCTCATGTCCGTGATGGAGGTCACGGCGTAGAGTGAGGTAGGGGTGCTGATGGAGAAATGAGCACGTAATGCACTGTAGCACTGTAGTCTGGTGCAATGTTCTCATCTGAGCAGACTGTTCACCCGATCTCCGAGTCTCTCTCGCAGTCTCTTGGAGTTTTTGTAGAAAGGGATTAGTGTGTAGGTATGTGCATGTCAGTGTGTGTGTGTGCATGTGAGTTTTTGCACGTGTATGTGTGTACGTGGGTGTGTGCATGTCTATTGCGTATTGGGTGTGTGCATGTCTATTGCGTACGTGGGTGTGTGTGTGTGTCTGTGTCTGTGTCTGTGTCTGTAATGTATATTCACGTGTGTGTGTGTGTGTGTGTGTGCCCGCTTGTGCGTGTGTGCGCGCGTGCTCGCATGCATATATTACGCATGCAAAGGGGATTTAGCCGCAGCTAGTTATCTGTGGGATAGGAGCGTTTTGGGGAAGTTTCCTGAACAGAAGTTTCCTAAAGTAGGCCAGTGGAGTAACCCCTTGGGGCTCGGAAAGGTTTCCTGTCAGTCTGTAAGGGCTGGGTGGGGTGGGATAGGGTGGGGATGGGTGGGGATAGGGTGGGGGGGGGGGGGGGGGGCTCTGTCACTCAAACACAGCATGGCGACGTTACAACAAACTCCGACGGTAGTGATCTCCGTGATCAAAATCCCTTTTTACGACGTACTATTTAGTCTTTATGGAGCGGGATTGGGGCTGGACCATATATATCGATATCATGGTATGAGACTAGATCTCATATTAGAGTTTCGTCGATTTCGTCATATCGTGATATGGCGTAAGTGTTGTCTGTCCCTGGTTTTAAAGGCTGCATGACAGTCAAGTGATGGAGAAATGAAAAGACATACATACTCAGTGCTTTTCATGTGTCACGCCTTTAATTCACATCGGAGAATGTGGTTATTTTATATGGACTAGTTATTTATTGAATTACCAGAAAACATGCTATATCGTGATGCATATATCGTTATGAAGATATTAAATGACCTATATCGGGAAATAGGTCTAGCCCTAGCACCCCAAAGCTCAAGCGTATACGAGCACAAACGGAAAACTGAACTTTTCTTGCGTCCTTGTATTCACACCGGAGGCGCAGTCAATCCTACACGCTCTCATCCAGGCCATTTAAATTGATGAGCGGAGAAAAAAAAGCGGCAAAAACCGGAGGTGGAGGGGAAATAAGTAAGACTCATGCACACCGGAAAAATACCTGCTCCACTCCGCAGTGCACTTTAGTGCCGCCTGCAGCGTGGAAGTGCTGCTGTTGATTTAACGCACGCAAATGCTTTTCGCTTGCGCTCTGCCCTTGAGCTTTGGTGTGTTTAGGCGGTAAAGGTGAGGGCATCTCA